CATTTCCTGCACACGCCTGTGCACGGTGGCTCTGGATGTTTCTACTCCAGACTCAGTCCACTGCTTCCGCAGGTCCCCCAAGGTCTGGAATCGGCCCTTCTCCACAATCCTCCTCAGGGTCCGGTCACCTCTTCTCGTTGTGCAGCGTTTTCTGCCACACTTTTCCCTTCCCACAGACTTCCCACTGAGGTGCCTTGATACAGCACTCTGGGAACAGCCTATTCGTTCAGCAATTTCTTTCTGTGTCTTACCCTCTTGCTTGAGGGTGTCAATGATGGCCTTCTGGACAGCAGTCAGGTCGGCAGTCTAACCCATTATTGCGGTTTTGAGTAATGAACAAGGCTGGGTGTTTATAAAAGCCTTAGAAATCTTTTGCAGGTGTTTAGAGTTACATTGTTGATTCAGATGGTTAGGTTAATAGCTTGTTTAGAGAAGCTTTTCATGATATGCTAATTTTTTGGGACAGGCATTTTGGGTTTTCATGAGCTGTATGCCATAATCATCAGTATTAAAACAATTAAAGACCTGAAATATTTCAGTTGGTGTGCAATGAATCTGAAATATATGAAAGTTTCATTTTTATCATTACATTATGGAAAATAATGACCTTTATCACAATACGCTAATTTTTTGAGAAGGACCTGTATATATGAATTACCATTAAAGCGAACAGCCCGGACAGCTCCTTGCTTGCAGTCAATGGTCCTGAGGAGATGCTGAGGAAGCTGTGGAGCCTGAGGCTTGGGTTGAGGAAACGCCATCACATTACCTGTACGGAGAAACAAGGCAGAATCATTATAACGCTATGCGATACATAGCTAAGTTTCTTAGCAAATGCAAAATACGTTTAAGACCTTTTTTTAATTACAAAAAAAAAAAAGTTTACTTACTTTAACTAGTTTAATTAAGTAACATTATTAGAAAGGTGTCTAATAATACTTGTTTTACGGGTAGAACTAAATGAAAAAAATAAAATAATTCCAGTATCTAAACTATTAACTGCGCCTTTCTTCTCGTTTATTCAAAAATGATGCTACATGCTAGCACGAAACCGCAATGCACACTGGGATCAAATGTTTCTGTCAAAATAAAAGTTTGACCACGGCTTTCCTTCACATGACCCTTGTTTAAATGATACATTAAGCTTTTATTTTAAAATGTACCGGAAATGGTTGCCTGGTCTTTCCGTTCCTATCTACCAAAAGGCCGATCAGCTGTGGATCAGTCACTCGAGTTTAGATTTCTTGTCATTCCTTTGTAAAAGAAGAGTATTTTTGGTTTAATATGTCTTCAAACAATATGGCAGACCCGAGGAGGCCAAATAAAATTTTAAGGTATGTAGTTTAGCATGGTATGTATTAGGTATGTACGTAGGTTAGCACCTGAAGCTAATCATGTCCGAGTGTTCTCAATGGGCTTAGTGGTGATTAGGACTTCCACTTCGGACAAAAGCAATACTAATGATCAATTATTGTATGTAAAATTCAGTCGGTGATTTGCTCATAACTCAAACTGTTCACGTTTAAAAACAACATCTTTGTTAGCGAGTTATTTGTATTTTTTTTCCTTGGTCAGTCCTTGTCTCTGTCAGGTTGATTAACCATAAATCTTAAAACAATTAAACTATTAAAAATTTAGTTATGCTAAAGTCTATTCATGTGATCAAATGTATATTGATACCCTGTCCTCAAATCTTCAGTTTCACTGATTGATGGTGATTTTTAGCTTGTTCATCAGCTGATTTCAGATTTCAGTGAAGCCTTGTATCTCGCAGTGATGACATTTTAAATAATATCTTTGTGACTGTGCTTGTTTTCTCCTTCACGCATAGATGAAGTGAAGGTGCAAGGTTAATTTCTCTACTGTTACAATAAATCTTTCAACTGTCTGGCATATTTATGAAATGCATTTCTTTAAACATACCATTGTAGGACTTTACACAGCAATTAGTATATTGATGATTACATTCCCTGTTTAGTGCTTATAAATGATTTTTTGTTTCAGGTACAAGCCCCCCAGCACGGAGACCAACCCTACATTAGAGGACCCTACTCCTGACTACATGAACCTGCTTGGCATGATCTTCAGCATGTGTGGTCTGATGCTCAAGGTTAAACCTTTATGCTAACCCTCTTTTTGTTTTCTTCATTTCTCCTGCCCTTTGCTTCTGTTTATGCCTATGTGTGTTCATATGAACCATGCTGGCCCTGAAAGGGTTAACCTTGATCCATCCTAATCAGTCCATTTAGATGATTAAAGGTAAACTCACCTTTTAAATAAAGGACTCAAGGACAGCTGCTGACTTTGAACACAAAGGACACAATAACAGCACACAGCAGCATACTTTGGCACACAGTGCCGTGGTAGACATAGGCTTTTATCAACTTGTCCTCCCATCGGTACGAAACACTGTTGATGTTTTAATGTCCTTTTTAGATATTTTACAATTTACCTGGAAAAAGGGAAAAAAAAATATTTGGCTTTGACATTTTTTGTTTTGTATGGTGTTTCGTGATGGTGGGGGTGGATGTGAATCCTTCAGCGACTTTGTTCAATGGTTAGCTAAAATATTTAGACAAATTATCACTTTTAATAACAATTTTTATTAATTGTAAAGCTTTGGAAAGTTATGTCCACAATTCATTTACTATTTATTTATTTGTTAGCTTATTTAATGTATAAACCAATTATACACATAATTTTAAAATAATTATATTGTGATATTTTTAGTAGTTTGTGTAAAAGCAGCTTTCAGCCCATTTAAACTAGTTGAGTCACAAAATTATGAGATAATAGACCTAAATTGAACAAAGGGAAACTGAGTGAATCTGGATAGGACATTCTTCTTTTTTTTTTTCCCCAGAAATATTTGTCCTTAAACAAATGAATATTCACTAAGAGCACTTATGCCCCATTTCAAGAACTGTTTATTTTATTTAAGTTTTTGTGAGCTCATCAGGTCACAGAAAAAGTTTGTAAAACTGAAATGTGTGTTTGTTTCAGCTGAAGTGGTGCGCCTGGATCGCAGTCTATTGCTCTTTCATCAGTTTTGCAAATTCACGCAGCTCAGAAGACACCAAACAGATGATGAGCAGCTTTATGTGAGTCCTCCACCTCATGTATGTTTGTGTTTGAAAACTAAATATAAGGTGTGTGGGTGTGCACGTGCACTCGTGCATTGTAGGCTATAAGAGGTGAACTGAACTAGGGCTGAACGATTTTGGAAAATATTCTAATTGCGATTTTTCACCTCAATATTGCAATTTAATATGCAATTATTTTTCAATGTCGTCTTCTTGTATTTTTCAATGAACACAAGCAATAAATCAATCTGTTTCAGTTGCAAAACACTCCGCTGTTTTCAACTGCAACTCTTTCTGCATATTTTTTGTAGCTCCAGGATAGCAACTTGGCTAAAATGTGTGCACGAGGGCATTCTGTACCACTTATCCCAGTGTTTCTCCTACCATTATACAAGCGGGGTGCCCCACCCCGTCAACAGAGCTGAGCATCATGTCCTTCACTATGAACTCCGTTACTGCTCGAGTTATTTCCGCATGCCGTTTCGAATTATGTTCATGCGGAGTAATACCTTCGAACAGTTCAGTCAGAGATCTCTGTCGGCAGGTAGTTTTAATTTAAGTTGAAGCACTAGTCGTTGGCATTCTAGCTATGCAACTATCGTAAATGGCTTTGTGGTGTTTTTTTAAGTGTTGATAAAGATTTGTGTTACCTCGAGAGGTAGCAACAGCAGCAAGGCAGGTTAAACACAATACGTGTTACACAGCGTCTTCTTTTTTTTTATAGCCAAAATAATTCCAAATAACAGATGTGCTGCCGCTCTTTGGTACCAAACTTTCAGATGTATCAGCTTCTGTCGAGCCTGACACCACTGTGCAACCGGTTAAAGCTCAGTGTTGACTTCTCCCACTCCCTACTCTGCTTTGCTCGGCTCCGCTCACTCGCAAGTCACATAACCAGATCACGTGACCAGTCAAATTGCTGCCTTTGCGATTAGAAAATCTTGTTTTATTGTATTGCAATATTATTGCAAGTGCAATTAATTGTTCAGCCCTAAACTGAACATACAGTTTATTGACTTAAAATGGTAAATATTGTTTTCATTCCAAATCTATAACCAGGGCTAATGTTAAATTACTTTTTTTTTTGTTTATTTTTAATGATGCTGAGCTTTAAGAGTTGCGCAGCAGTAGGTTTATGTTTTAGCCTGCAATTTTGAGCTAAAAGTGCAATTTCTCAGTAAACAGTTTTTACCTTTGTTTACATAAAAATCTAGTATTATGGCAGCTGAAGAAATTTCAGCTGTTAGTTAATTTCAGCAACTGCTGTAGCTGTTCTCCATTCTTGTCATCATTCTTTGTTGAAATCAGGTCTCTCTCGTAAATGAGTCCTTGAGGCTCAATGGGATTAACCTGTCTAAATAAAGGTTGAATGAATTTAAATTAGGTATTGGTTCTGCCTGGCATTGTGTCTTCAGTCAAGTCAATATTAATATAATAATAATAAAATAAATACATTTGTATGCATCCTTTTTGTCTATTGTTGTCGTTGTCCACTGTTGTCATCACTCTTTGTTAAAATTCAGGTCCCTCTTGTAAATTAATCCCAGAGGCTCAATAGGATTAACCTGTATAAATAAAGGTTGAATGAATGAATATCCAAAAACCTTTTTAATGAATGGCCTCTCCAGAGGACATATTTGCCTATAAAAAGTGCACTGAAGCAGGCCTTCAGACGTATTTAAAGGGGAAAACCTCCTTGTCCATTGTCTAGATGAGGTTGTGTTAAAGACGAGCTAAATGTACTCAGAGCTTAGTGACAAGAAAATGTTTGACTCAGCAAATAATGTCAGCGGATGAACTGGACACACCAGCCGTGTGTGTAGAAGGTGTTCAAGGCCAGTTTTGGGACATTGGTCAAAAGCCAGGATATGATTCGAGTAACCCTGTTGTCATTTAACAAAGGCTTATCTAGGATAATTAAACTGTGGAGGGAAGGTGAATCATTAAGGTTACCAGAGGAACCTACCTTCATATATCTGGATGAAACTGAAACTCATTTGGAGAAGTTCTGATCATGTTCTCAGCTGCAGTATTTTATCTTGTAAACAAAATATTTCTGTTAATTAGTCAAGTCAAGTCCTATTTATTTATTGAGCACAATTTAAAACAGACTGTTATCAAAGTGCTTAACACTAAGGGTAACACTGAGAAATAAAAAGCAGTAAGAATATACCTTAAAAAATTAAAACAACAGCATTAAAATGAAGACATGGAACAAGATATACTAAATCAACTCACACAGTATGAAACGCCAGAGAGAACAGATATGTTTTTAGCAGGGATTTGAACACAGGAAGGGAGGTGGCATGCCTAATGTTGGGGGGTAGGTTGTTCCACAGTTTGGGACCCATGACTGAAAACGCCCGATCTCCTCGGAGCTTCAGTCGTGTTTTTGGAACAACCAAAAGCAGCTGATCGGATGATCTCAGAGCCCGAGAGGGAACATATGGTTCCAGTAGCTCAGAGAGGTAGATGGGTGCGAGGCCATTTAGGCACTTATAGGTCAGGAGGAGAATTAGTTTATGAACTATTCCAAGAGGTCACCTTCAACTTGACATTAAAATAAAATTACACAATAAATAGTTTTTATTTTCTCTCTATTTGTTTTCGTTCTTAGGTTGTCCATCTCAGCAGTTGTGATGTCCTACCTCCAGAACCCACAGCCAATGTCACCGCCATGGTAACCAAGGACAACTCACTGAAAAAGGCAAAAGTGCATTGTGGAGCCTAGCACCGATTGACACTATTGCCCCGACCACACCATCACCTGCTTGTCATCTGTGAGCAAAAACACAGAGGGAAATGCAGATAATGTAATAGAATGACTGTGAGAGTAAACAGATGACCAGAAGAAGCGGACGTAGCATCAGGAAGTAAAAACATCACTAGTTTGACATATTTTCTGTTTTTACCTTTTTTTCATTAAAATCTTTGTAATTTTGCTCTTTTTTTTCTTGAGAAATGTTCTGAATAACATTATGCAGTTTTAAATTAAACATCTCTGACAAGAAAGCATGTTTATTTCCATATTAAGTTAAGTCTTTAGTCTCAGTGCCAGTATAATTGTGGTAACCAGAACAGGATCTTAAATTTATTAGAACAAAAATGAGTCAGGCCATGATTTAAATCAGTGGTTCCCAATCCTGGTCTTTGAGGAACACAATCCTGCATGTTTTAGCTGTTTCCCTGCTTTGACTCACCTGATTTGAATGATTTGGTGAAACAGGCTTCTGAAGAACTTGAATTAATTAAATCACTGAATCAGGTGTATTGAAGCAGGAAAACAGCTGAAACACACACATATTGGTGTTCCTCAGGGACCAGGGTTGGCAACCACTGCTCTAACCAGTGCCTTAAAATAAACATGTCCAAATAAAGTCTTATACAATTTCATTTCACACTAGTTTCACTTGGATATCGCGCTCAGAATCAGTCTCAATCACAAGAATCTTCTTTTGGTTAAGGCAAAAAAAAAGTTGAAATAAGCCCTTTTCACTCCCAATAAATGAAAGCATTGCTTTCCCTTTTATCCTTTGAAACGTTATATCTGCTAATAAAACCCACAGAAGATTTAGTCAGTCTTCAGTTTCTAAAGTAAAGGCACCGACTGCAACTCACGCAGGCAGCCACAACATTAACTGCTTGAATGTCTGTGCTGACTACAGACAAGAAGCTGGAAGTCAGCTGGATGTGAGACTGATTTAGTGCCATATAACTCATGTCCCTCCAGGGCCGACTTCAGCGCAGCCGTGCCGAGTGGGCGCTTGAGTTGCATGGCTTGCTGCCACGTTTCAGCAAACTCCTGGATTTTTTTTTCCTGACTTTGCCCTGAGTCAAATGGCTAACTTGCTCATTTGTCTTTCAAGTCATCAGACCATGGCCCATTTCTCCCACTGTGGCATTTTTTTTATTATTGTTTTCTATGCCACAGTCATTGGAACATTTGTTGTTGATTGTGATCAGTGAAAAGCATATTGAATTTGTCCAAGTCAGCAGTTATCTTTAGCATTAATCTGTGGGCTGTGTAACATGATATTAAAAACTGTCACAGTTGTCTGAATGTAGCTCAGTGGATGATGGGCTGGAGGCGATTTTAATTAAAGCTGATCACAATATTCTGCCCAGAAAGAACAAATCTGTTGGGAAAACTGGTTTCTATCTGCACTCCACACTAGAGGGCACAATAACATCACAAATGAATGAATTGGCTGCAACCGAAGATCAGACCTAACTGCTGAAGTGCTGTTTACCTTTTATTGTTAATGGAATAGGAGCACATCAGGTATAGCAGTGTTTTATTTTTTTCAACTTGACTGCTCTTGAGTCCTTAAACTGTTTTTTTTTTATCATGTGCAGCTGATGCCAAATCACCCAGAAGAGACAAATGTATCATATTTCAGAAGTAATTTCAGTTATTTCAATCTCAAAAAGAACAAAGTATGGTCTTTTTGAAGACATCTTATGAGTTAAATTTATCTGAGAGTGGGTGTTTTTTTGATTTTGTCTGCTTATGAGACGTTAGCCCCACAGCAACCACAGGAGGACGACGCCACCTCCTCTGACAAGTCGCCTTGCGTCACATTTGCATCAGCACCATAAAGCAAAGCACGTCATTTCCAGAAATGCTTTCTGTAACAAAGACCTTTAAGTAAATCCAAAAGATAAAAGAGCGCATACATTGGAAAATCATGAATCACACGAACAATACAAACTCAAGGTCTTCGTTTTGGAGTGCTTTTAGACCGTCTGCTCTGACATCAGATCGTAGAAGACTTTAATTTGTGAGGAGCAACTTTTAACAGTTATTGAAATTAACCTGTTTTTAGTCAAAAGGATTAATTAGTTTTTTTGTTTTTTTTTACTTTGGAGTGTGGTCAGAGCCCAATATTAAAAAGTAATAAAGTGACCCTCCACTGACTTTCTTATTGGATTTTTTTTACTCTAAGCCTTGAGCTTCTACACATTTTTTCAAACTCATTAAAGATAAAAAGTCCAAATTAAGAATATTAACAGGTTATAAACTTGTTAACACAAACTGTGCTCTGTAGAGCCACCAATAAGGTGTTGCTCCTGTAAAGACCATGCTGAAGCATGTTCTTATTTCTGAGTCTGTGTCTGCATAGAAAGATTGCAGCATCCAGGTTCTTTTATCAAAAAGCCACATTTTGATACGATATTATATGGATCCCTCATATGTGAGAAGGAGAGCACCATACAGTTTCAGCTCCGTGGGTCTTCCCCCCCCCCCCCCAGAAAATTTGGAATAAAAGAGATGCCATTTCCTGCATTTTGGTGTATTTTAACAGGTTGTTAAACAGCTGTAAATATTTGATTAAATTGATGAAAAACAGGCCTTTCTTGTAAATGACGAGGCTCAATGAGACGAACAACTTTGTATAAATAAAGGTTGAATTGAAATGACTATTTTAGAGAGCAACAACAATAAAGAAGCCTGTGTGTGAATGCAGGTCCTATTCTGTCAAGCATCCTACCCCCCCCCCCCCCGCCCCCCCACACACACACGGTCCGACCCGAACTCTGCTGAATTCAGTCCTGCGCGTTGTTCTGCTCCAACATCAATTACCACTGCCTTTCAGGTGCTTGAATCCTCAGTTGTCCAGCTAAGGACAATCCATTCATCCATTTATTTTAGATAATAAATTGAACTGTTTTTCAACATTTTGATCGCTGTTATTTTGACAAATTAGTGCTGTTGTTTTGATACGTGATGTAATATACACTTCAAACATTTCACTCGTATTTTATTTTTTTACTGTAAGCTTAATTATTATGTCTGAAATGTTATGCACTGTGGTAATGTATGCAGAAATTCCGACAGCAGTTGTGCGTGCGTCCTGCAGAGCTGTCTGGAGACACTGCGTAAAACAACTGTCTTCAGGGCGCAGAGTTGAAGGTGGATGAAGACGATCCCCGCGGGACATGCAGTCTGCGTCTCTGCTGGGCAGGAGCGTGGTGCAGCTGGAACATTCACTCCACAGACTGGGCAACATCTCCTCTCGTTGTAGCTTTAGTAAATAATCAAAATTAAAATGTGCGATGACTTTGGATTTTTAGGGGCGGAGATTTGAGTTGCCGGATCCGAGCGGTCAAAATGAGAGAGTTCCCGGATCTTGTTCCGGCAGGATCCGGCTCAAATTAACCACTGGGTAAAACAACAAAGTCCGAGATCAATGTCTACGGAGTCAAAGATGTCCTAACGAGTAGAGAAAGTGTCGTCCACAGGAACCTGCTGCTCTCTGTAAATTTCTTGCCCTGTGAGAATGATGAGTGCCGTGAATCTGTGCATTCTGACAGTGATGTTACTATGCATGGGAGTGGCATATGCCCTGATGTACCTGATGTGATGGAGGACAGTGGTGTCTGCACGGTCAACTGGCTGATGCAGAGTGGCGATGATGGAGTCCATTCAGAAGATGGTGACTCATCTGACCAGGGACCTGGTACCATCCAGTCTGACCCTCTTACGACCGTTACTTCCATTCCAGCCAGTCACCCAAGTCCTGTCCACAATGTTGTCCACTCAACAGTTGACAATATGGAGGACCCACAATATTGCTCAGACATTTTACCCAGTGCAACATTTTTCAGTCAGATCATCTGGACAGTTTCTTTTTTTTGTGCTGAAATGTTTCGCCTTCGATCCGGAAGGCTTCATCAGTCAAGGAAACACAACACAAAACTGATTCTTCCGGATCGGAGGCGAAAAAAAGAAATTGTCCAGATGACCTGACTGAAAAATGTTGGATTGTATTCCTGGATTATTGAGCATGGACTTTGTTGTTTTCAACCAGTTTGACACGACTGTCAACAAGGAAGAGGGCCGGCAATGGGGGAGGGGGCGTGACAAAGAGACCATCTTAACACCAACATAACTGGTTTGTTCCACTTTGGAGCAAGCTGTTGGGGGAAGAATAGAAATAGAAATATCGCTGGTTCAACTCCTGGTACCGACATCATCAAAAGGTCGGTGGGATAGGTGAAACACCCACACCTGCCTCCACGCTCATTTGCTCTTGAGCAAGGCCCTTAACTCCCACCATCTTCTCCCCTGGGCACCCTGGATAGCAGCCCTCTGCTGCACACAGAGGTCTGTGGTAGCTAGGTAGTCTGTGGTTGCATCAGGAAGGGCATCCGGCTTAAAAATAATTGCCACGTCTTCGTACGACTTAGTTCGCTATGGTGACCCCTTGAGCAGGGAGCAGCCAAAAGAAGAAAATATATATATACACACACACACATACTGTATTAAAATAAACTACTACTGACTAGTACTACTTGTACTACTTTTCCTACTTTGTGGTTTTTCCCTTATCGCAGGTGGACTGAAGAACCGAACCCCCTGCGATAAATGAGGGACTACTGTATAAATGCTATTCGTTTAAGGCAGTGACATGCAGTCAGGGGAGGCAGGTGAGGCAGTGCTGCACTAGTCATCATGACAAAATACTAACACAATGATAAGCAAAAATACATTTAACCACTTGACTGTTATATATATGTGTTTTATAAAACTGTTTTCTGAATTATTTCAACACTTCAATGGTCAAAATCGTGGAATTTATGCATTGCCTGTTCAAACATGGAAGAAATGTGCTGGGTGAGGCAATGTAGTGCTCTGGCTCACCTCTGGGGGCGCTGTGTCATATACAATATGTACGTGGTTGGAGCATGCCCATTGCCGTCTCTGTTAATATCACCAATAACATGTTTGATTACACATGTGCTGCACATGCTGATGTTCTACAGGCTGTCTAATATATTGAATGAACGTATGTGGCATATTTCTTCTTTCTGCACGCTGAAAATTCACAGAGGTGCAACAGATTATACCTTGCCGCACCAATAGGGGGCAGTGCTGCCCATAGAGACGATGGTACTGGTGCAGTCACTGCGTTCTGTTATGCTGAAGGCAAATCGGTAGTACACTCGTTTAAATTTGTTTACGCAAAAT